TAAAAGTTGTGCCGAATCTCACGATGAAGATTTGAGAGTGCTCGGAGTCAATTGGATAAAGGAAGATGTCGAGGGGATCAAATTTAGTCAAAAGATGATCACAAATCAATTTCCAACCGAAAAGTTATGCTCCGGTGTTTTAGTCTCATATTGAGACCTATTTTTGGCATAGGAATTGATCGAGTTGGAGAATGATGTCTGAATTAAAATTGTAGCTAGATGAGTTATCTTTCCAATGCATTTTGCATCGCCTCAATAGGATATCGGAATACAAAGTTATGATAAAAACACTGAAAAAAGGTGCAACTGCCTGTTTAAAACAAGAAATTCCGTTACATAGTCCGTTATATTGAGACCTATTTTTGGCATATAAAGTGGTCGAATTAGAGAATGATATCTGAACTAAAGTTGTAATCAAATGAGTTATATTTTCAACGCATTTTGAATTGCCTCAATCGGATATCGGAATGCAAAGTTATGATAAAAACACTGAAGGAAGGTGCAGCTGCCTGTTTAAAATAAGAAATTCTGTTACTTAATCCATTATATTGAGACATATTTTTGGCATAGAAAGTGATCGAATTGGAGAATGATATCTGAATCAAAATTGTAGCCAGATGAGTTAGCTTTCCAACTCATTTTGAATCGCCTCAATCGGACATCAGAATACAAAGTTATAATAAAAACATTGAAAGAAGGTGCAGCCGCACGTTTAAAACAAGAAATTTCGTTATATTGAGACCTACTTTTGGAATAGAAAGTGATCCAATTGGAGAATGATGTTTGAATCAAAGTTGTAGACAGATGAGTTAGCTTTCCAACGCATTTTGAATTGCCTCAATCGAATATCGAAATACAAAGTTATGATAAAAATACTGAAGGAAGGTGCAACTGCCTGTTTAAAACAAAACATTCTGTTACATAGTCCGTTATATTGAGACATATTATTGGCATAGAAAGTGATCGAATTGGAGAATGTTGTCTGAATCCAAATTGTAGCCATATGTGTTAGCTTTTCAACATATTTTGAATCGCCTCAATCGAATATCGGAATACAAAGTTATGATAAAAACATTGAAGGAATGTGCAGCTGCCTGTTTAAAACAAGAAATTCTGTTACATAATCCGTTAAAACAACAAATTCCGTTAGTTTTTCCGTTAAACCAACAAATTTCGTTAAATAGGCACTTTTTATATATAGAAAGATATTATTTATTACAAATTTCATATTAAACTCTTGTTTGATCCCCATTTTTTTAATATAAATTTTTCTCTCTCTTCTTTTCAATCATATATTTTTCAATATCTTTTTTTTTATTACATGTATATCCAATTTTTTTTTTTAACTACTCATTCTCCATTAATCTACTATTCTAAAATACATTCTATACAAAAATGAGGTTCAAACAAGCCCTAAAATTGTATTTAAACACTCATTTTTAATTCAGAATAAAACTCTCATATAATTTCTATATTATGCACTCAATTTAATGTTAGGCTATGTTTGATATCCATTATTTTGCCTAAAACTAGGAAAATAATTTCCATTTTCTCCTTTTTGTCTTGTTTGATAGTCAATAATTTCCCTAGAAAATACTTTCCTACTGATGACTCAAGATTTCCACGCCTACCTCAAGCTGCTTGCCCTGGTTTCAATTTCCGACGAAGGGGGTGGGGAAGTTGGGGAAGATGAACAGTGCTCTCTCTCTCTCTCTCTCTCTCCCTCTCTCTTTGTTTTTTTTGCATTTTTTATTATTTAATTATTTTAATTGTTTTATTATGAAAATTTCAAAATAGACCATTTTGCCCCTGATTTAATTTCAAAATAATGGCATTATGGAGGGAATCTGTGATTTGGACCTCGAATGTAATTATATATAAAGGTTTGGGACCTCGGCTGCAAAAATGAAAGGTTATGGTGTAATCTGTAGCAAAATGAAAGGTTTGGGACCTCCGCCGCAATTTTCCCTAAAGTTGGACAAACTAACAAAATAGTGGAATTGTTAAGATGAGGGGAAAAATGAACATATAAATAACCAATTACAAGTATGAAAAAAAAATCGTTTAGATTGTCTGGAAAAAAAAACCTAATTGGGGAACCAAATGCTATAATAAGCAACAATGTTTGGTACCAAGACTGCAAATTTCCCTGAAGAGAAAAAGAAAAAATCAATATGGTATTGAAAATATCTGAATAGGCAACCTTCGTAATTGGTGTAGAACAAAATTGTTAAGATGAGAAAAAAAAATGAACAGAAAATTGTAAACAATTAATCACATAATCACGATAAGTATAAAATTATTCATTTGTATCGTTAAAAAAAATTAAAAAATTGTTTGGGGACTTAAATACTATAAGAGACAATGCATTCGACATCGTGACTGCATATTTCCCCAAAAAATAAAGAAAATTCGAAACGGTATGCCTTGTGTGAATAAGAACTTTAATTCTTTGTTTTATTATACTAGCATATAATCTGTACATTTCATATAATTTTGTAATGTAGTTGTGAGATTTTTTATTAAAATATATAAAAATTGGACAGACATGTTTGTCATATGGATCTTACAATATTTGATAGGATTAAGAAAAT